GTGCTGATTTCTATACATGGAAACATTTAAAATCCATTTTCATCTTTTTATCAAATGAATAATATTTGCAGATGCAAGGCTATCCTCCCGTATTCTATTGTAGATATCAGTCTGTATATTAGTTACTTTGAATATTCATAGCGGTCCTTAGTGATTCCTTCAATTCTGCCCATATCCACAATGCTGGGGATCAAATCCAGGGTCTTACCCAGGCTAGGGAAACATTTTACACAGAGCTACAGCCCCATACTCTTCCATCAGTTCTTAAAAGAAGCCGTATGCACAATTCACTTTCACCATCATTACTGAAATAATTTGCTATCATTAATTATTAAATACAGAATATTGTAGATATGAAGCGTCCCTTTACTTTTTTTTTTGGTATGGAGATCAAACTCATGACCTAGTGCTTGCCAGGTAGGCGTTTGTGCTGCTGTGCTAAACCTTAGCCCCATTCCCTTTACTTTTTTTGCAATTAGTCCACATTCAGTGGCACATAACTGTAATCTCAGCATTCTGAGAGACTGAGGCAAGAGCATACCAAGTTTGAGTTCAGACGGTAATTTAGCAAGACCTTGACTCAAAAAAATAAGTTGGGGGGGGCAGAGATGTAACTTGGGATAAAAGTCAGTACAGATAAATAAATAAATATTTTTTTTCTGAGATTATATGTTCCCATTAGTAAATTGTAGATTGGTCTGTCAGTTCTGCTTTTGGTTCATGATATTCTCTGTGGTCACAAAAAATGCTGTATGGAAAAAAATACTATAAACTAGATTAAATTCAAGGGTAATGATTTCACAAAAGAAAACTAAGAACTTATTCATGTACTACCTGCACAAGAGAATAATTTTAAGAAAAATTTCCAGGTGTATAAAGATTTTGCACAGATACCTGTAATCCCAGCACTTATGAGACTGACCTCCCAGCACTTGGGGAGACTGAGGCAGAAGGATTCTGAGTTTGAGACCAGTCTGAGCTACAGAGTGAGTTCAAGGCCTGCATTAACTGCATAATGAAACCCTGTCTCATAAACACAAACATGACTAAATTTGCAAGAGACTTAAAAACATAAAATTATTATGTAAGAATATATTACAATTATCTGCTTACTGAGGAAATAAGAGCAGTATTAAAACATTTTTATATTGGAGTTTCTGTGTTTTTAATATGTAGCAATTAAACATAGATATCTGCATTCCTATCTGCATTCTTACAGCAAATAATGATTCTGCCAAAAAGGGAGTGAAGAAGTAGTTAGCATATTTTGTTTGCAGAAAATTATGAATAAAAGGAGTAGCTAAGTGGGTGGGGCAGGCTTGTATTGCGTTTTAGTTATACTGACTGTCAGTTAAACTATTTTTTGCTATTTTATTTAGTGATACAATGACTCAAAGGTCTTTACTGATATTTTAAGTACATTTACAATGTCCCAGGAGTATTCTTCAGTGTTTTTCTGGGTATGCTTGGAATTGACAAATTAGTGTTTAGAAATTTAATATGCTCTTGATGCCACAACTTTTTTATATATTTATATTTTAATAGGACACTACTAAGGATATTTTTATGGGTTAATATACAAAGAGATTGTTTCAAAAACGAAAGATATAAGCTCTATCTTTATAGAAATAGCTAATAGTTATCTCTAAACCCTTATTATTTTCCCTGTATCACGTAAAGCTGTTGTTGATAGCATGCATTCAAAGCACCTTGAGTCTCAAGTTGTTGTTTTTTAATCTATATTTATTTGCCAAAATAATTTTAATATACATAACCAAATTTTGGCTTCTGACTGACTATACAGTTCTCATGGTACTCTCTTTGAGCACTCAGGGATCCACTTAATATTTACTGATATATTTTAAAGAATATACTCCTTTTAAAGCATGTACTCCTTAGATAAAAGACACACAGCCTGGTCTAGCAAGAGAACTGAGTGCTGAGACTTGCATCCCTGTGGGGTGCATGTGCTTCTTTGAGCCCCAGCCCATGATGTATTTCTTGTTTACCTCCCTGGAAGGCCCCTGAACTCAGTTCTTTTGGATTTTTATGGAGCTTAATTATGTAGATGTGATTTTATTAAGCCATTGACCATTGATGACCAGCTCAACTTCAGTGCTCTCGGCGTTCCTGGTGGTGGGATAATAAGGCTGTGAGTTCTAACCCTCTGAATGTGTTTGGTTTCCAAAAGCTCCCCATCCTGTGATTATCCAGGCACTTTCAAAATCATGTTATGAATATAAACTTAAGAGCTCTTTGAAGAGATTTGTAAATAGCAAAACACTGTCCTTTGCCTTTGTCATTCTGAAACTAAAGGCCAGGTTTTTAACTAAAAATACACTTTTTGCTCCAGTCACTTGTGCTCATTAATCACAAACACCCACACACATACATATAATTACAGTATTACAGTCACATAACTTGCTTTTGAATTTGTTATGCATTTATAGTATTGTTATATTCATCTGCCTTTTTGTTTGTTTGCTTGTTTTGTTTTCCTTTTTTTTTTTTGTTTTGTTTTGTTTTGTTTTGTTTTCTTCTTTTTATCGGTACCGGGGATCGAACTCACGACCGCTTGCTTGCAAGGCAGGTGCTTATGCCACTGACCTAAATCCCCAGCCCCATTTGTTTGCTTTTTTGAGACAGTAGTTTACTATGTAGCCGAGGCTGGCCTTTAACTTGTAGCAATGCTTCTGCCTTCTAAGTGCTGAGATTATAGGCATGAACCACCACACCACAGCCAGCTTTCATCTGTCTATGATGAGGATCCCTAAGATGTTTGTATTCTGCATTCTCATATGCATAATACTTAGATTAAAAAAGGATGGTGCAGGAAAGTTGCTTTATAGGAATACAAGTGTACAGCATTAATGTTGCATGCATTGTATGTTCCACTGCAAATATTGGATGCTGTACTTACATTTTTCTAAAAAGAAAAGAACATAGACTTTTTTGCACACCTAAAAAAGTATTTATTATCATTTTTGCCAATAGTTGGAACAAATGGAAGAATATTAGATATACTTTTTCTATTTTTTTCTGAAATGAGTTCTGTCATAATTTTTCAAAAAGCAAGGATAAAATTATATTTAAACTCCAAAAGTGGCTACAAATCAGCTTAACTATCACTGACATTAGTGTCTAGATTTTGTAGTTTTTACAAATCTTTAAAAATAATTATTAAGAAACATTGCATTAATGCATGATACAAAATTGGTAAATTTTTCTTTAAATTGGAATGCAGTTTAAAGTGACTGAATGTTCAAATTTCAGCTACTGCATTTGACAAGGATACAAACTGAAAAATGGAACTGGTATCATCTAATTCTGTTAGGTTCTTTGACTTGTAGTAATGTAGCATTGTGTAGATTGTATTCATGATGGCTAATATTAATACTGTGTTCCTAGTCTTCACAGCAATGAAAAATTCTGGGTGATCATAATTTTTAAAAATAATTTAAATCATTTCAATATATTTTCAGTTAAAAATACATCATTGGCATTTGGCTTTTGATGTTTAAATACTGCCATTCTTATGTTTTGTTCTTCATAATTGACATGAGGATAAAATGAATTAAAAATGGGTATGAATAATTACAATTTCTGTAACAGTACATCACATCACAACTTTAAACTATTGGACACATTAAGATGACTGTGGCATAAATGGCTATATAAATTAATTTTAGATTTAAACATCTTTTAGTTGTCTTGCACATTATTTTTACTTTTTTGTGTACAGTTAATAAACCTTTCCATATCTTGTGGAAAAGATATGAGATAAAATGTTATTTGTATAATTTTACAATTAACAGCTTCCAAATTAAGCAATATTAGCATGAGGGCCAAAGTATTATCTTCAACATGACTATTAGTTGCCACATGGTCTAAAAAATTCTACTTAATCTTCCTTTTTGCTAGACACAATAGATGATTTTATGTTTTGAAATTTTTTTATAGAAATTATTTCTGATGCTCTCCAGAGATTTTTCATGCTTAACTTTTCTGTTAGACTTCAGCCATTTATTGTAACATTAGGAAATTCTCTTCATAGTCACAGTTAAACAGGGCCCTTTTAAAAAAAGGAGAAAACAGATAGTGGAAACCATTTTCTGGCCATGTAATCAAGTAACTTATAAGAGAATCCACCTAGTAACCAGTCCTTACCCTGCTTTTCATTCAGTCTTAAAGGGTGGATTTTTTAATTTTAGAGCTCATGGTTTTGAACTGCCACTTCTAGCTTCTAGAGATTCTGAATACTTGTTTATATTGTGTAGAATTCAGCATGTTCCAAATCAAACCTTTTCCACCTTTATTCTCCTACATTTTATAACCAACCACAGTGATGACGGTACCAGTTCCATTTTCCCTCCAATTCAGTTGATTATATATTTTTTCTATTTATTTCTCATTTTATAATTGATATCTGGAATAATAAGCAGATCTTTTCTCATTTATTTTCTCATATTTTTATTCCAGGATTTGCCTCTGAAGCAGGGAGTGTCTGCATTAAAAATGACCTGTAGTTCTCTGCTTCATAGGTTAGAAACTTATTTTAATATTTTGTGGCTAAGCACAGTCCCACTTTTCAAATTCTATAATGAATTATTTAATTGGCATTGAATGTGGACCACAAGGATATATTTTATATTGGGGTTTTCTTTATTATTTTAAGTGATTAAATTTCAACAGAACGTCCAACTGAGGCAATAAAAGCTTTATTCTTGCTTTACAGCTTAAAACTTTAAATTAGATTCTAAAATTCTATTGATTATAACAGAAGACTAATAATGCTATTTGGACATTTTTAAAAATAATATTTCTTAGGCCTTACATTGCTTTTATATATAGAAGCATTTATATTCTAAAACTTAACCAAATTCCAACTATTCGTTTTGGGGAAAAACAATCAGTTCACAAATCAGATTTTTCAATGGGACTGCTAGCCAGCATAGGTGAAAGTACGGATAGTGTATTTACTCTTGGATTGTACACTGCAGATGCTTCTTCAGCTCCCTCCTCTTCCTCCATGGGCGGTGCTTGCAGCTCCTTTACCACCTCTTCCAGCCCTACCATTTATTCTACCTCAGTCACCGACAGCAAGGCTATGCAAGTGGAGAGCTGCTCCTCAGCCGTGGGGGTAAGTAACAGAGGGGTAAGTGAAAAGCAGTTAACCAGTAACACAGTTCAGCAGCATCCATCAACCCCGAAGAGGCACACGGTTTTGTACATCTCACCACCACCTGAGGACTTGCTGGATAACAGTCGGATGTCCTGCCAGGATGAGGGGTGTGGATTGGAATCTGAGCAGAGCTGCAGTATGTGGATGGAGGATTCCCCCTCCAACTTCAGTAACATGAGCACCAGTTCCTACAATGATAACACTGAGGTACCTCGTAAATCACGAAAACGAAATCCAAAGCAGAGGCCGGGGGTCAAACGACGAGATTGTGAAGAATCTAATATGGATATATTTGATGCCGACAGTGCCAAAGCACCTCACTATGTGCTTTCTCAGCTTACTACGGACAGCAAAAACAACTCAAAAGCTGGAAATGGGTTGGTATTCACATTTTTTAAAGTTCTATCACCATTATACAATACAAAACAAAAATTATTCCAAATTTTTCTTAATTGCTCAGCTGAAGTTTGCATAAAAGGGAAGGCACTAATTTTATCATTGAAATAAATGGACAATTTTAACTTAAAATTACCAAGTTTTACTAGGAAAAAAAATAAATGACAGTAGATTGCAGGAATAAGTATCCTGTTATGAAGATAGGGAATAGTAATCTATTTTGTTCTTGTTTTTCTTTTTGTGGTACTGGGATTGAATCCTGGACTTTGTGTGTGCTAGGCAAGTGTTCTATCACTGAGCTGCATCCCCAGGTCTTTTTAAATTTTAGTTTGAAAAAGGGTTTCACAAAGTTGCCTAAGCTAGTTTCAAACTCGTGATCTAAGTTTTCTGGTCTAGCCTTGAACTTGTAATGCCTCAGCCTTCTAACTATCTGGGATTGTGGTCATAGTCATATGTCAGCATATCCAGCTGAAAATGACCTGTTTTGAAATAGCTTAAATTTCTGATAGACTTCAACTATTTTTACTCACAGAAATGGTACAGCAATGTAATGGTAGTGACTAGACCAACTCAAAATATTTTTTGAAAACTAATTCGTATTCCCTTTAAAATTGTATTTTTATATGATTCATTACATTATATTTTGTGGAAAATTTTAGATATTTTCTCTTGATGAAAACAAGGAAATACTAAACTAAGGGTTTGATTCTCATTTAGGTGCACATGTCTTAACCTTTTTCCTTTGATGTGTGTGCAATTCAGGATTTCTTTTTTCTTTTTAAATCACCTCTTTTTCCCTACAATTCTGGATTACTTTTTGGGAGAGTAATAATGGTACATGTTTAAGTTTTCATTCATCTCTACCAGTTCACACTACTTACCAAGTGTATATCAATAGCTATATTGTAGAATATTCACTACTATAAGGCATACTAGTTAGCTTATTTTAAGTTTTATTAATTCAATATTTTACTTGTAATATTCAATTGCTAGAGTTTTTTTGGTTTTGGTTTTTGGTTTTTTTGAGATAGGGTCTCACTGTGTAGCTGACTTTGAACTTACTATTTCACCCAGATTGGCCTCAAACTTGTGGCAGTCCTCCTGCCTCAGCCTCCCAAGCTCTAGGATTACAGGTGTGCACCAGTACACCCAACTGCTATTGCTAGGTTTTTTACGTAAGATTTTTTTCCTTCTGTGTATTCGGTATAGTAATAAAATTTAACTTACAGGATTTTCAGAATTACTCTTGGGAAGCAAGGTATGATCTTTTGATCCAGTATCCCTTACAATTTTAGGTTATCACAAAAAGCAGTTCAGAAGCTTTAGATTGGTTTACTAATTGATGAAATCATTGATTTTACTAACTAAAAATCTGATTTAATATTACAGATAATATTCTTAATATATATTGAACTTGTCCTTAAATATTCACTCATTTTCAAAGTAATATCTGTCAATCAAGGAGGAAATAGTCTATACTACTTTCTTTTCTTTCTTTCTTTCTTTCTTTTTTTTTTTTTTTTTTTTTTTTTTTTTTTGAGGCAGAGTCTCACTGTAGCTCAGGCTGGCCTCGAACTCGAGGTGATCCTTCTGCCACAGCATCCCAAGTGCTAGGATTACAGGCATGCCCTACCATACCCAGCTGATAATACTACTTTCTTTTATACTTTAATAACTCCTTTATAGAGTTATATTAGTAATTAAAAATCCATGTTTAAATGCTTCTCAGTTTTAGAAAGTCTCAATTAGGAAATTTCTTAAAAGAAAACAAAGAAGTAAGCCCAGTGTAGTGGTACATGTGTGTAATCCCCATACTTGGGAGACTGAAGAAGGAGAATATACCCTTAAGTTTAAGGTCAATATGAGCTACATAGTGAGTTCAAGACCAACCTGAACTACGTAGTGAGGCCCTGTCTCGAAAAATGGGGGAGGGGGTGGCAGAAAAAAAAAGGAACCCAGGAATATCTTTGCTAAAATGTCATTCAACAGAGGCAGAAATTCCAGACCATAGTATTTGTAGGGCTGCTACATAAAGATCAAAGATCTGAAGCATTATGTCACTTAAGTAAATGTGACTACTAGCACAGATCTAAAAGTTTTTGAATGTCATTAAAAAAACATATATATGTTATTTGACCTTCAGTGGAGAAAGTCTTCATGAAATTCCAGTGGAAGAGATTTTCATATTTGTACTAAAATAGATTTCAAAGATTCAGATTAAAAACAGATAAAATTTTGGCTTAGGGATAGTTAATACAGTGGTTTGCAGTTGCTAATTAAAGAGATATCTTGACCTACATCTTTTCTGCTTCTGCTTTTGTATGATAGATATATCTTAGAAATGATTTGAGGTTACCCAGGGAAAGTATAATGACATTGGTCAAGACAAAATCTCTCATGAAATAATTCATGGAGCAGAAACTCCATCAAGCAGCAGAAGAAATGTCCAGCTTCTTAGGTAATGGAAAATTATTTGACACTAGTTTATGGAAATGCTGAAGAAGTTTAAAATTTGAATTTGTAAGATCTATATTGAAAGAATGAAACCGTATGTAAAATACATAGAAAAACAGGCTTGAACAGTTTTTCAGAGCATCTCATGCTAATAGCCTATCTTCTTCAACAGTGAGAAAGATGGTAGAAACATGAAATGTTTACATGTTTTAAGTGTTAAGTTACATAGCCTTAGATCTGTGGTAGCTTGTGTATCATAATTTGTGAGTTACATAATGCTCAGTGTTTAGAAAATACGCTTTTGAAAATGTTGCATTCAGCAGTTTATGAGTCTTTAAAATACCACAGAGTCTTGATAACCTGTTGATGCAGATACCCGTGTTTCTAACTCTAAAATTTCAGAGTTTATTGTGTGTAAAAGTCTGTTTAAAAAGATGGTTTAGGGCCAGGGATTTAGCTCAATGGCACAGTTGCCTGCCTGGCAAGCACGAGATCGTGAGTAGGATCTGGTACCAAAGAAAATAAGCAAATAAAAAGAAAGTTAGTATTTAAATATCACTAGTTATAGCATTCTTATTTCTTTCAACTAAGTGTCCAGAAAATTAGTAGCTCATGTCTCTTCTAGATTTTTTCTAGGAGATAAGATGTCACATGGAATCTGTTTTAGGTGTGTTGTAGTAAAAATTATTTTTGTGACTTAGTCAGAAGGATTATCTAGGACCAAAGAATTAGAATACCATTGAAAGACTTTTGAATATAATATGCCACAATTGTGAATTTTCCTTTTTAGTTGTCATTTAGATGTAAAATCCCGGCTTTGGGTGTAGCTCATTGGTAGAGCACTTACTTGCCTAGCATGCTCAAGGCCCTGAGCTTAATCCCCAGTACGCAGCACTGGGTACAAACAAAAGAAAAAGAAAAAAGAAAAAAAAAGTAGCAAGATCTCAAAGAAGGGTCATTATTTCCCCCTTCAGCATACTTAAAGTATTTGCAATTTAGGGACAACTTTTCCAAGAACTAATTGATGGTTTCACTGTTTCACATGTCTAGATATGTATGTTTTCCATTTTTATATTTAAACTTAGGTAATATAGTTTTATGTACTTTAAAAATGTCCCTTAAGAAATTATTCAATTCCATGTACTATTCTTAAGTCTTAACATACATATTTTGTCAACTCAACAGTCTTTATTCCAAATCAAATACTTTGTTTTATAGGAATAATAAACTCACTTTTATATATTTACCCTGATTAAAATATTAGCTTGGTTAGCGTAAGTGAATATAAAAACTCTATTTGGCCAGTTGACATTCAATACAGATTTTACTGACTTTATAAATTAAATTTTTTGTTACAAATTTTATAAATAGGAATTACAGATGTTTGAAAGATACAGCAAAATAATCTGTGATCTTGTTACTCAACACAGCTATTATTCTGTTACATTATTTTCTACTCCTTGTATATGTATGCATGAAAAATGTTTGTACATTGTTTCCATAAGTGAAATTTTTGCTGTGATGTTGACAGGTATAAAGCAATAATAGAATTTCATTTATATGGAATTATACACTCTTCAGACCAAATGTTTGTATCTATACCCAGATAATGAAGAATAGTGTTTATTTTATTAAGCCCATTGTTCCTTTTTCATTTTGATAAGTTTTTTTGCAGAATTTATTTTTCCAAGGTCTTTTAATTACTTACCTAGGTTATCTTTGATTTAATTATGTGACACTTAAATGAATGGCATTCCTTGTGTAGTTAGGATGCATTCTACTCTTAACATTATATAATAGAAACTTCATTTTTTTTTTCTGCTTTCCTTTGTCCTTTTTTTCTGCCTACATGCAGATTAACAAATCTTAGCACCTCTTATATGAAGTGTGCAATCTTCAGGCAATATGAAGATGATTAATATAGCCCTTGCCCTCAGAAGTTTTCCTTTCAACTAGTCAGTCTTACTCCATTTCTGTGTCAGTTCCATTTCTTCTTTCCTCCATGCTTCTGCCCTTCTAGTCAAGAGGTTCGACCTGGTCCTCATTTCTGTTAAGGGGTACTGCCTTTCTTCCCTTCCTTCTTCATTGTGATAACATCTTGGCTCCACCTATGAGGGTAAACATTAGAGTGAAATTTAAGAAAAAAGAGAGTCAAGAAAAGATACTTTAAATACCTTCATTTTAGGCCTTTTCTGGGGTAGGGTAGTACTGAGGATTAACCCAGGAGTCTGGTACATACGAGGTAAAAACTCTACCACTGAGCCATATCCCTAGACTTTTTTTTAAAGACTTGAGTGTGTTGGGATTTTGGTTCTTTTGTTTTGCAAGTATGACTAAAAAATCATACTAGTTAGCCTTTTATGTTTATGTAAGACTGATACATAATTTAAAATTTTATTTTGACTGAAGTATTAAACTTTATTGCACTTAGTCTTATTCTCTTTTGCTTATATATATTCTTTCTCTTATCCAACTTTCTTTATGCATTAGATTTTACACTAGTAAATTTTGTTTAAAAATTTTAAAGTTATTTTGCTTATGAAATACATCTTTCTTTAGGCTTTTGTTTTACTTTGTCAGTAAGCTCACGTTGTTAATGGTATTATGTGTTCTGTTTCTTAACTTTTGTAGAAAGTTGTTTTTGATATTTTCTTCATATTCTTTGATTTCTCAGAACATTAGACAACCAAAAAGGAACAGGAGTAAAGAAGAGCCCTATGTTGTGTGGACAGTATCCTGTTAAAAGTGAAGGAAAGGAGCTAAAAATAGTTGTACAGCCTGAGACCCAGCACCGAGCTCGGTACCTGACTGAGGGCAGCCGTGGCTCAGTAAAAGATAGAACCCAGCAAGGCTTTCCTACAGTAAAGGTATTTATGTAGTAAAATGCGTAGAAAAGCTCTCCAATTTTACTAATTACTAATTATTTTACTATTTTACTAATTATTTTGTTTTTAATCTCAGCCAAAGCTACTTAAAACAGAAGGGTTGAATTGTCATATATTGTCATATATGTATATATATATGAATGAAAGTCTAATTGGACTAGAAACCAAATATTACTTTGATACCATTTATGTTTTATTTTAAATGAAAGAGATATAATTATGTTCTAGAAAGTAAAATATGTGCATATTATGAATTATCTTCCCCATACTTGATACTAAAATTAGAGTCATCCTAAACTAACTTGTTTTCTTTTGTTATGTTGTTTTGTTTTGTTAGTTTTGTTTTATTCTGAGACATGGTTTCACTATGTAATTCAGGCTCACCTTGAAGTTATTGCTTATCCCAGGCAGGCCTTAAACTCAGAGTGATTCTCCTGTCTCATCCTTTTGAGTGCTGGAGTTGAAGCCATGTGTGCCATGCCCAGAACCTCTTTCTTTTATTTGCTTTTTTCAGGCAGGATCTCACTTGTTTAAGGTAGTTTTGAACTCAGTATGTAGCCCAGGCTGGTCTCAAACTCAGAGTGATACTTCTACTTCAGCCTCTTGAGTGATGGGATTATAGGCATCTGTTACCATGTCCAGCTCCAAAATTTATTTTTAAAAGAAATTTTAAAGTGAATACAGAGAAATAGAGTATAAATTTTTTAGGACTTAGAAAATAAGATTTTTGAGAGAGCTAAAGTAATCAGAACTATTCAACTCAAAAGAATTGGTTGATGTATTATTTAAATCTTTTCAGAACTCACAATAAAGTAAAAAATAGTGGAGTTAAGTTTAACCCATGATACATCCCATTACAAACAGTATTTCTCTTTGAATATAAAAGGAAAAAGAATGGTGTGGAAGGTGTTTTAACAGGTCCTAATCCTTGGAAAATACTATATACGAAGACATTTTGGGCTTCTTACATGATAGAATCTTCTTAAATACAATTTGTGTAAATATTTGATGAATAGTACTTTAAAATTAGAGATGGACTGCTTTTCATTTTTATATTTGAATAAAATTCTGGTTGAACTTTTGATCTGGAAACTCACTCATGGCCTTTGATAATCTTGGTTGATAGTCACACATATGATATCATCCTTACCCTAACCCATCCCCCACCACTCAAGCCCAGAACGAGTAACAGGAAAGTGAGAAATTTAATTTGGAACTTATGTAAATATTTGTGTACTCAAACATTTTAATAGTTTAGTCAGTATTTTCTACTTGTTTGCCTTGACTTTAAGTTAGGCTTTGTCTAAGTATTTTCTTAGCTATATGGTATTTTAGATTAATTTCCTACATGGTAGAGAATGGATCTACTAACCTTAAAGGTTTATTTATTCATTCAGTACTCTTCTGTGTCCCTGCACTAGTTTAGATGTTGATGACTGAGTGCTTTGTTTATTGCTCATTTGCTTATTATTATGAGAATCATTTCACAGAGATGCCACTGCCCTGGAAAAGAAAAGGTATAGGAGTTTGCTGAAGCACTCAGGAATACTCTAAGTTAACTTCGTTATTTTCTGCATTCTGCATCACCAGCTTCAATATTTACCTACAAATACTAAGAATCAAAGTTGGAAACATTTGTTCTCAACTCCTTTTAAATATTTACAATTATAATTTATGAAAGGTTTGTTGGATACCTATAATAGTCTATGGATTCTGGTTTGAAATAGCAGTTTATTAGACCTTAATGTTTGATGATGTTATAGGTGTATTATGTAATCCTTGTCTGTTACTCAGACAGCTATACCTCAAGTATGTTTATACACAGCAGAGCTTTAAAAGAGTTATAATCCATTTAATGATGAAGATAATGCCAATCACACATATTTCTACCAATGATGATATTAAGTCCTAAGTAACCTACATGCTGTGTAAAGAATTACATACTTGTTCTTACTTGCTCATACAATAAATTTTAAATGAGAATTTTATTATGCAACATCTAAAGTTTTCGTTAAAATACTACCACAGAGGCTGAGTATGAAGCCTATAATCCTAGTACTTGTAAGGCCAAGGTACGAAGATTGCTGCAATGTAGCCTGGGCTGCATACATAGTGATTTGAAACCATTCTGAACTACATAGTGAGACCCTGTCTCCAAAAAAATTATATATAATTAAAATTATACGTAATTAAAGCTACAGGTTTTTTTTGTCAGGCATTGTGGCACATATGCCTATAATCCCAAGGAGGTTGAGGAAAAGGATCACTCTGAGTTCAAGGTTAGCCAGGGCTACATAAGCAAGTTCAAGGCCAGCCTGCATTACATAACCAAGACCCTGTCTCAAACCAAAAAAAAAAAAAAAAACCAAGAAAGAGAGCCAGGCATGGTGGCTCACACCTGTAATCCCAGCACTCAGGAGGCTGAGGCAGGAGGATCATTGCAAATACAAGACCAACCTGGACTAGGGGAGTTCAAGGCCAGTCCAAACTGCATAGTGAGACCCTGTCTTAAAAAACAAAAACAAACAAACAACAACAACAAAAAACCTTAGCTCTCTATTATAAAAATGCTGTATCTCTATTTTTCATGAGGATTTATTTCTTTAATCCAGTTACAAATACAGAGTTTGGTTTTAAATATTTACTTTTATTGTTAATTTCTTTGAAATGGTAACTAGTGTTTCTGCTGCACCTGGTTCCAGCTGGAAGGCCATAATGAACCAGTAGTGCTACAGGTATTTGTGGGCAATGACTCTGGTCGAGTAAAACCACATGGATTTTATCAGGCCTGTAGAGTAACTGGACGAAATACAACTCCCTGTAAAGAAGTGGATATTGAAGGCACCACTGTTATAGAAGTTGGCCTTGATCCTAGCAACAATATGACACTCGCGTAAGTACTTAGTAAGAATTTTTTCATTGTAGGTTACATTTTTGTTATAGCCGGAAAAATTTCAGTTCTGAAATTTCATTAAAATGTTTAAAATATTACAAATGAAAAAATACAGAGTAGCAGTGTGTTAAATTTAATTCTTTTGCCCCGTGCCAAAGAAATGTGATGAACAACAAGAAAAATTAACTATGTGTTGGGTCTTTTGAAAATATGGAGGCTTATTGAAGATTCTAATAGCTAACATTGCAAATAAAAATTTAAAACAATTTGTGTTTCCAATTCTGTTTTGTTAATATTTGCTTTTGAAACTAATTTAATGGAGACCATGAATTATCTTTTCTCAACTACTTGTGAAAATCATATTCTAGTGAACATTCATCTGTTTTTATTATTTTTCTGTATTTAAAAAAATTACATCCTGTTCAGATGTGGTGGCACATACTTATAATCCCATCCAGCACTCGGAAGGCTGAGGCAGGAGGATTGCCTCAAGTTTGAGACCATGCTGGGCTACATAGTGAGTTCAAAGCCAAAGTACACTACATAGCAAGACCTCTGAAAAAACAAAACAATTAAATGTTGAGGTCATATATTTTTGTCTTAATATACTTTTATTGATTTAGAACTATTTGAAGCATTAGTGATTTGCTTTTTAAAATTTGCTTTTTCCTTAAGTAAAGGACACTTAATCCTAAAATTAAACCATGGTAGCAGCAAATATGCTGGTATTGGGGAGACCTGATTGTAACTACTTTAATGGATAGCTGCTAATGACATTATTTGGTCTTCAGTTTACCTTTGCAAGTAATTTTGAATAGAATGACAAATAGGCTAGTTAAAAAGGGGAAATTTTGGGAAATATTAAAGATTTACTTTTTTTGATTTATAACTTAAAAATTATAAAAGTGAATATATATAGTAAAGAAGGAAGAAAAGACTTTCCGATAATAAAAATGGGGTATATACTTCAGTTTTATTTTTATTTTTTTGAGAAAGGGTATCACTGTGTAGCCCATACTATCCTTGAACACATGGTGATCCTCCTGCCTCAGCCTCCCAAATGCTGGGATTACAGCTGTGCACCACCATGCTGGGCTTACACCTCATTTTTAAAGGAGGTATTTTAATATATGAGAGGTTAGAAGTTGATCTTCAGTAATACCTCTCCCAAAAAACTTCATTTTAAGCAAGTTAGAAGCAGAGTAATAAGTTAAAAACATACCCTTGGAAAAAATACCTTTCAAAACTTCACTTCCCAGAAACAAATCCTTTTTTGTTTTTTGGTCTTTTTGAGACAGGGTCTTATTATGCAGTTGCAGGCTGGCCTTGAGCTTATTTATGTAGTTCAGGCTGGTCTGTAACTTGCAATGATCCTCCTTCCTTCAGCCTCCCAAATGTTGGGATTACAGGTGTGCACCACCACACCTGGCAATATACTATTTTACTTTGTTCTTTTTTTGTTGTTTTTTTTTTTTTTTTTTTTTTTTTTTTTTTGGTCTTTTTTCCTTTATATCGGTACCGGGGATCGAACGCATGACTGCCTGCGTGCAAGGCAGGCGCTTACGCCACTGAGCTAAATCCCCAGTGTTCTTTTTTTTTTAAAATAAATACTATTTTAATATTTAGCTTCCCATTCATCTTTGGACAAAATTGAGATAATGTACTCAGTTTTTTTAACCTGCTTTTCATATAACAGATGAGCGTTTTGTCATATTATTCTAAGACTGTATTTATTGAAAAATTCTTTTACAAGCCATTACTTATGCTCAGATTTTAAAATAGTGATTTTATTTCCTTACTATTTTCCCCATTTTTATAAATAGAAAGTTGACAGTTTAAGAACCCAAATGTTTAGAATTTACTGTTCTGAACTTTTGAGTTTGTAACCTTAGGATCTCACCATACATTGAAAAAATTGATGGATAAGTACTTTTTTTTTTTTTTTTTTTTTTTTTTTTTTTTTTGGTGTTGGGGATTGAACTCACAATCATGTGCTTGCAAGGCAGGCGCTTAAGCCACTGAGCTAAATTCCCGGCACTGATAAGTACATTTTTAAAAAAAACTTATTTGATTGAAACTGTTGCAATATTTATACAACAAAATGTTAATTGTTATTTTTTTTTCTGTGTTAGGGTGGACTGTGTAGGAATATTAAAGTTGAGGAATGCTGATGTTGAAGCCAGAATAGGAATTGCTGGTTCCAAGAAGAAAAGCACTCGAGCCAGATTGGTTTTTCGAGTTAACATCACAAGGAAAGATGGCTCCACATTGACCTTGCAGACACCCTCTTCTCCAATTTTGTGTAGTAAGTAAGAAAATATGTGGATATTAAATATATAGAGACTTTTTACTACCTGTTAATCTTTCAGACATCTCTAACTTACAGATTTTCATCCAATCAAGCTTATGATTCTACATTATTTGAAATACGTTAAAAGCTGTAGTCAGGAGCTGGAATCCATGGCATGTACCGATGGTCCCAGCAAGGTAAAAGGCTGAGTGAGGCAGGAGGATCATTTGAGCCTAGGAGTTTACAGCCAGCTTGGACAGCATAGCAAGATCCTGTCTCTTAAATTAAAAAAAAGAAAAAATAGATAAATATATTTTCTGAGCTAAATTAAAGGTAAGTAATCAAAATAAAATTTAAAATGTATGTAGCATTTCGTAGTTTCGTGTTATCATCACACACTGATTTTAAAAGAAATTTGAATAGGTTTCCCAAAGTAAATTGCAAAGCTAAAACATTTTCTAAGTACTTGCACTGTAGTAAATTGCCATGATACTGTTTTATGTTAGAATATAAAAGTAAAGCAAGCAGAACTTTGTAAATAATAGGTCAGGGGTTCTAATTATAAATTACAGTATTATAGTGTGGTGTTAGAAAGTGGGAAATAAAGTTTTTTATCACTTAACCTTGATATAGAAAGAAGCTAACATGTGGGTTTATATTTAAATACAATTGTTAAATGTGTATCACTATAATTGTAGTGTCTCTCTAATGAATGCTATATTACAAGTAATGGGGAAAATTTCTTGTTATATCATTTAAGAAAACTTTCATTATATTTTTCTATCTGGTATTGCTTTTTTATAATTTATAATTTATATTTGATTTCAAAAGAATTAGTGTAGGGTTCCTATTAGGTTGCAATGGTCTTAACAACCATGCTACCCCTTGGATAGTTATAGATCCTTTGTTATTTTAATTGTTCTCTAGTTTTGTCAAATTACCTATCCTTTGTGAGCCATATTTTTATTCATACCAGAAATTCTTAAACCTCAGTTTAGCAAACACCTTAATTCGAAGAAGTACTAGAAATATCTTTCTAATCTCCTAAGAATTCAGTTGAATTTCTGTCTCTCTCTCTCTCTCTCTCTCTCTCTCTCTCTCTCTCTCTCTCTTTTTTGTACCAGGGATTGAACTCACGATCTCATGTTTGCCAAGCAGGCACTTAACCACTGAGCTAACCCCCCAGCCCCTCTATTTTTAATTATTATGTAAACTTTACTTTTATACTGGTATTTCCTTATGTTGCTTTCTAGGTAATACTTATAAATAAGCTGTTTTCAAAGTTTGTAGATTCTATGGCCATTCTATCATGTTCAGATAGGAACAGAACAAATAATCAATGTTTGGTTTATCGAGTTGTAAAACTTTGCTAGTTGAGGTGTCCAGTTTCTGAATTTGATGATTTCATGACATGGCTTTCCTTGAATATTATTAGGATGGAGTTGGAATTCTAGTGAAATATAATCTAACACTTTGAGCATGATCATAGCTGTTCTTTGAAGAACAGAGCCAGGTGGTGCTTGATGGTTCCAGTCATAATGCTTTAGCAGGGGGCTTAGGGATTTAGTTCAGTGATATAAGCGCCTGCCTGGCAAGTGCAAGGTCGTGAGTTCTATCCCCAGTACCAAAAAAAAAAAAAAAAGCTTTAGCAAAGACTGGGAAATAGTTGCCAGGTTGGTTTGCTTACTTCTTTTATTAGTTCATTTGCTCATTTCTTCCGTTCATATTTCATTAAGTTGTTGACAAAGTATATCTAGCTAGAGATGGTAGAAAACGTGAAAGAAATAGAAAACATGATATCCTAAAAATTATTACCTGTAATTATCATCACTAATTATCAGCATTAGTGGTAGTATGTGTCCATTTATGATCTGTCTCCTTGAAAAACTGTTTGTGCAATAGATATGGTAACCATAGGAAGTAGCAATATACAGTAGAAGGTACATAGGGCTAATAGTAGCTACCATGTTTGAATTTTAGCTACCTGCCTGACATTTTAAGTACTCTACATAAACATTGTATCATTTAACTCTCACCATACCTGGGTTCCATTCTACAAATGATAAAACTGAGACTACATAAGAAATTAAGTCTACATAAGATCTGGACCGGGAATTTAGCTCGGCGATTCAAGCACGTGCTTGGTAAGCACAAGGTCATGAGTTCGATTACCCAGTACCAAAAAAGAAAAAAAGACTACATAAGATCTGAATAGCAGATCTTATGGGTTCAAACAAAACCTCTGCTGTTAGCTACTATATTTTACTGCCACCACAGTCACTTAAACTGGGACATTGAAACCATCTTTGCACAATCCACTTCATCCTAGCCATGGCTTTTGGGTAGTTGAAACTATGGTTAAAAATTTGAGAAATTATTTTGGGAACTATTTCTTTGATCTTGGAGATTTCTATTCTGTAATTTAGATTTTTATGAATTTTTTAGAAAATATTTCATTTTACATTAGGGACTTTTATTAAATACATATGTTGTTTTTTCCTATTTTCTTTTGTAGATGCCATTTATTATGGAGTTGTAGGACTTGTATTTTAATTCCTTTAATTTGCTATTTGGCACTTATCTTACCATCTCTTAGAGAAACTGGATTAAACATTGGCAACACCTTTTAAAGAAAAGGAATTTCAGAATAAGTAGAAAAGAACAGTCTGAATATTTTCAACACAGAGATGATTGAGGAAATAGAAATGTCTTGTTACTCTGATTTGATCACTACATATTGTATATGTGTATCAGATTATTGTATTGTACTCTGTAAATATGTACACAGATTTTTTTTGTACACAGATTTTGAGTCAATAAAATTTTTATTTAAAATAAAACTGGCATTGTATGATATGTAAAAATAAAAGTTATCAGAAGATTTTTGAGTGCTTCATTAAGATGGGATTGCAGTACAGGAGGTGGCCTGGGAACCTGAGGAACAATACTTGGTTATCTGTTTAGTCAGTGTGACAGTGAAACATTTAAAAAATAAACATAAAAGAGAGACAAGGAAGTGGAACAGGGAAGAAAGAAAAGGTAATGTTTGCAAAGATGGTCTTTATGTTTTTTTTAGAAGAGAAAGTAACTAGAATAATTATTTGCAAATATGTTTTCATAGAATTTCATATCAAATGATTTTTTCTTAAAGCACTTGATAACTACCTTAAAATACTTAGAATAATTTCTGTAATAATTAGATTTAACCATCTGGCAAGAGACTAAGCTTCTTTATTTACTTTTTTTTTTTTTTTTTTTTTTTTTTTTTTTTTTGAGACAAGGTCTTGCTACATAGTTCAGGCTGGTCTTGAGCTCACATTAGCCCAGCCTGGCCTCAAACTCAGTGTGATCCTTCTGCATCAGCCTCTGAAATGCTGGGATTACTGTCATGAGCCACCACGCTTAGTTCTATATTCCTTTTAATGGATTAATGATTTGATTTGATTTTTTAAAAAATGCATTATTGTGGGCTGGGGATTTAGCTCAGTGGCGTAAGTGCCTGCCTGGCAAGCACGAGGTTGTGAGTTTACCAAAAAAACGTGTGGAAAAACATTAATTTTGTTTTATGCTCATGGCTTTTCAGTAATTACTGGTCATTGATCTGCAATGATTGGTTATCTAATTGGCAACAAAATGAAAGATTTTAAGTTTTTAAAAGTTTTTTGTTTTTGCTTAAATGTTAGACTAGATTTGGGGGGGCACAGGTTTGTATTGTTGCAATAGAATGAGAGGTGGAAAGGAAATAGTTAATAAGAAAATTTGGAATTGGAATGGAAGACAGAAAAATATTGAGGAGTTAGAAAAAAAGTGGAAAAGGAAAAGGGACCATGAGGTGATAGGCATTAAAGGAAAATGATTCTTGTCATTCCATCTAATACAAAAAGGCCTGCTGCCAGCATTCATGCTGTGCTTTGGTTTAAAAAAAAAAAAAAAAAACTCTGCTTTGAATTGTTGGATTAACAATGGCTGTTAGCTCTTTTGTCTTTTTGTTTTTAAGGGGATAAAAAATCACTCCCTTTTATATTTTTAACACAGAATTGTCCAGAAAATAGAGGCATATATGTTTTTGGGTTTTGGTTGTATAAGTTTATATTATTTTGTTAAATTAAGAATATCATTGTTCATTATTATACTCTTACAGTAATTTTAATATGACAAAATTGATTATGGCTTTCTTATTTATTATATATATAATTTTAAATCATAATACTTACTAAGTCCACATTTAACAATTTTCTGCTTCCCTTATTTCTGTCTCATTACTTTGAGAAGAGGATAATGTCATTAAGTAAACTGTCCCCTTCCCAAAATTTCACATATGGTTAGTACTTCCTTGATATGATACAGGATTTTTATTCTAAAAATCTACAGATTTAATTTTCACAGACATTATCAGAGGCCTTTATTAGTTTATTTGACAGCTCAAAATATTTGCTTAGTTTTTTAGTATCTAAATATTCATTAAAACTTCTGAGCTTTATATTTAAAGTGCTATCTGAAAAACATCTAAAAATACTAGAAATATTGCTGGGTTTTTTTTTTTTTTTATGTATGTGTGCTATAATTTTCAAACTATGTAATGACTTTCAAGAGTTAGCTTACATGGTAGAGCATTTGCAAGGTTCTCAATTCAATCTCCAGGACTGTGGGCAAGGAAGGAGTCAGTTTACTAGTTTAAAAACGAAAGTAAGATAGTTAATGCTTAAGTAATCCTGACTTTAGTTCTTTTATGTATGGAATCTTCTGTATGAAGTGTGTGCTATTGGTTAACTGTTTTTTCTTAGTTACTTTTTTGTGGTTGGGACAAAGTACCTGATACCCACAAAATCGAGGAGGAAAGGTTTATTTTCGCTCATTGTTTATAGAAGTTTCAGTCTGTAGTTGACTGGTTTCAAGATTACAGCAGCATGGGCTGGGGATTTAGCTTAGCAAATAAACGCGCCTGCTTAATAAGCACAAGGCTGTGAGTTCGATCCCCAGTACCAAAAACAAAACAAAACAAAAAGATACAGCAGTATGGCACAAAGGCAAGGCAGAGGAGTGTTGCCTGTGGTATGGCAGACAACACAGTGAAGGAAAAAGGAAGAGAGATCTTCTAGGCCATGCCCCCAGTGACCCACCTCCTCTGACTAGGCTTCACCTCTCAGTATTATCATGTTTAGCTATAAACTCATCAGTGAACTAATGTACTGATGATTATCATGTTCCTATGATGCAGTTACATCCCAAAAGCCTCACCTATGAGCACACAAACCTTTGGGAGGACATCTAGATACAAACCACAACAGTAACCATTAAACCTTTTTAATACAGAAGACCTTTTAAGAGATCAGAAAGGTCATGGTGGTGCATGTCTATAATCTCAGCACTCAGGAGACTGAAGCAGGCGCATCACTGCATAATGAATTCAGGGCCAATCGGAACTACATAGACTTTCAGCAAAACACAGTAATATCAGAAATTAAAAGTTGTGCTTGCTTTGGTGGCGCATATACTAAAATCAAAAGTTGAAAGTTAAGTTGCCAAGAGCTGGGCGTGGTGGCTCGCACCTGTAATCCCAGCACTCAGGTAGCTGAGGCAGGAGGATCCTTACAAATTTGAGACCAGCCTGGGCTACAAAGTGAGCTGAAGGCCAGCCTGAACTGCATACAGAAATCCTGTCTCAAAAAAAAGGAAAAAAGTTAAATTGTCTTAAGCAGTAGCAGACTAGTTTTTTCTGTAACATAAATATGGAAGACAAATATTCTAAACCTTCAGGGCCTCATTTGGCCTTCTTATGCCTTCAGTACATGGAAAGTGAAAATGAGAGATTAAAAAAAAAGTGTTTTTGTTGTTTTTAAATAGTCTCCCTGTGTAGTTCAGGGTATCCTTGAACTTGAAGTGTCTGTTTTAGCCTCCTACCTGCTGAGATAACAGACATGGGCTACCATACTGCTGAGCTGAAAAAAGTTTTAGTAGTCCTCAGTGAAGTCGGATTTCCACATGGTATTTGAAAAGGAGGGAAGATTATAGATTATACCTCATTTTGTTAATACAGTATATTAATATAATTTTGCACCTTTTGTTTTTAATCAAAATAATATTTTACATATTTTCAAATATTTTAAGACAAGTACCTGTTGTTGATACTCCAGAAAGTTATTTTTATTTTTTTAGTATCTGGAATCGAACTCATGGCCTGGCAGGTGTTTATGCTGCTGAGCTAAATTCCCAGCCCTTTAGAACATTACTTTTGACTTTTATTTGTTTAATTCTTTATTTGAAAAGGTGTGTAATTGCCAGTTAACCCTTCACATTCTGTTCATATATTAATCCTGTAAGTTCTAGACAGTATATATTTATATATATATACACACACACACTCACATTCGGTTTCATGTAACAAAAATAGGATATCTGTTTGTACAATAAAATAAAGGCTGATTGATGCTTCATATATGTTTACATTGATATAAACAACCAAAAAGGAGAAGGAAGTAAATATGAATCAGTGGTTTACAACAGAGATGCTGGAACCATGGTGGCTCTTAATGCTTTTGTTTGGACTTGACACATTACTTTGGTTCACATTTCATAAGCCACATTGCAAAGCTTGTTATCAGGGGGCCAAGAATTACAGCTTTTCTATAAGTGGGGGCATAGGGAAAGGGGAGCAGTGATTATTTTCTAATACAAGTTTACGTATTAGCTTTTTTTGTTGTTATTTTTCTGAGATGGGTTCTTGCTATGCAATTCAGGCATACCTACAGCTCACTTTGTAGCCCAGATTGGTCTTAAACTTGCAGTGATCCTCTTGCCTTAGTCTTCCAAATGCTATATGTTAGCATTTTTATAAATACTAGATTTACTATTAAATATGTAAGGGGGATTTTTTCAGTATATTAAAGTCTCATTAATTTAGGCATTGATGAGTTAGATAAATATTGTTTATCTTTGTAACATAGGTTTTAGAGGTTTGTTTAAACAAGTAGTATAAGCTGTGACAAAGTGCTTACACGTTCACGATGGAGCCTTACATGTTCATATATCTCACTGCTGGGTAGCTTGAACCACTGATGGTACATGCATGACTATTCCATTGTGTAGTTTTTAATTTCATGAGTAAAAAAGCCAATAAAACTGAGTAGAGCTGGGTGTGGTACACATGCTAAGCACCTCCAAGCACTCAGGAGGCGAGACAAGGGGATTTCTTATGAGTTCGAGGCCAGCCTGAGCTACATAGTGAGTTCAAGAATAGACTACACAGTGAGATCCTGTCTCAAAAATTTTTAAAAGTGATTAATTCTGTTTGTACCACTAGTGGGTCAAGCCAACAAGAATATATTAACCTTAAAGGAAAAAGTCCATTAAGGACTGAATGCTTAAAATATATCATACATTAGAACCCCACAGAGTGATCTTTTTGGACAGTAGTCCTTATAGATATTGTTAAGGAATAATCTTTCCAGAATCAAATGTTTTCAGAAAACTATATACTGTTTTATATATACAGAGTATGAATACTTGCAGAAATATTTTTGTTTGGCTTTTCTTAACCCACTATTTCCCAGATCTACTGTTTTCCTAAATAACATTTATTAAATTTTCTAAAGTAAATCTTGACAATTGATAGACTACAGTTTCCCATTACTTCTTTGTCCTCAGTACTGTCTTTGTTAATTTTAGTAGTGGTTAATCCTTAAAAATTGAAAACAAGTACATCTTGTGTTTTAGCATTAAAGTTTCTGTGTTTAGAGAAAATACCTGCTGGAACAAATCGTTCTGCAGGGGACTTGTTTGAATTTTTGGTGTCCTTTTGTTATAGGGTCTCTGGGTCCTGTGTCTAGATCCTTACATATATTCCCAGTACCATCTACATACCTCTCATTAGCTCAGAGACCTTGTAATGGAGCATAGCTGATGCTTCAAAAGTTAGGGCTATGTTTTGAAAGAAAACAAGACAATGTGATAGATAGTGAAGATCTCAGGTCGTCTAGCTTTGAAATTTATATCTCTTACGTTGCTTTCTTATGTCCTATTTTGTTTTGTTTTGTGTTTAATTTTATCCCCTTTAAAATAAAGATTAAAAAAAGATTAGGGCTGTGGGACAAACCTGTTTTTTTAAAATTTAATTTTTAAAAATACTAAAATGAGGGATGAGGATGTAATCCAGTGGCAGAGTACTTGCCTAACATACACGGCCCTGGATTTGATTCCTGATACTGTCAGAACTTTAGAAAAAATTACTAAGATAAAATATGACCAAGTTCATTTTTTCAAACTTTTACCATTAACATAAGGACAAAAATGGCATTTATCCCTGCCTATGAAGTCTTAACAAAATTCATTTGGAATTAGTATGCACTTAGCTGATTTTTTTTCTCTGCCATCTATTAGGATAAAAGTTAAGGTGCCAAATAATTTAAATTCAGGATCAGTGAGACAACTCATAGACCTACATACATAAACACAGGTTGCTCTTAGATAAAAAATAAATTAGTTCTTTTTATGGAATGCTTGTTTATACCCACAGCTCAGCCAGCAGGAGTGCCAGAGATCTTAAAGAAAAGCTTACATAGCTGTTCAGTGAAAGGAGAGGAAGAAGTGTTTTTAATTGGCAAGAACTTTCTTAAAGGAACTAAAGTTATTTTCCAAGAAAACGTTTCTGGTAAGTAGGCATCTTAGTGGTACAAAGATTGTTTATGTTTCACTTTGTTATAAAGATACCTACATAGTAAAACAGTAGTTCAAAAAATTTAGTAAGTTTCTGTTTTTATTTCAATCAGATGAAAACTCTTGGAAATCAGAAGCTGAAATCGACATGGAATTATTTCATCAGGTAGAATTTAAGCATTTTTATAATTTGGTTGTGTACTCTCTTAATTTGGTTTTGTTCTGAAAATTTTTTAATAGATTAAATGTTATATGGGTTGATGAAAAAGCTAAGAGTAGTCGCAAAAGTTACTAGTTTTAATAAAACACTTTTGTTTCCTCTTTTTTTTCTTCTGTTACTGGGATTTCCCCCATCCTGGGTATGGTGGTACATGCCTGTAATCCCAGCGACCCTAGAAGCTAAAGCAGGAAGATCTCAAGGTCATGACCCACATGGGCAATTTAGTGAAACTCTATCTCAGTGTAAATAAAAGTAAAAAGAATTAGGGATGTAGCTAACACCTTCTAGGTTCAATTCCCATTATCACAAAACATACAACAGAATCTGTTTGTAGGACTCTGTGATGAATTGTTTTCCACATAACAAGGAAAGACAACTACAAAACGAGGACAATGACCTGACTTAATATTTACTATATAGAAGTGTCAAATCCATAGAAATTGAGACTAATGGCAGTGGAGACCAACTTTATGAGCAAGTTAAAAGACACATGCAGAAAAGTAGTATTTACAGTTATAGATGGGTGGAGGTCAAGCTAATTTGTTCAGAATAACTAAAGCGGGGGCTAGGGATTTAGCTCAGCGACATAAGCGTCTGCCTTGCAAGCAGGCAGTTGTGAGTTCAATCCCTGGTACCGATAAAAAGGAAAAAGACAAAAAAACCCAGAATAACTAAAGCCTAAAATTTAGTGTACAGAGCTGAGATAAAAAGAAATAGCACTTGAAAGCAAGCAAGGTGGTTGAAAATAATAGAATTGGAAAAAAATATAGCCAATTTATCGAGAATGTCCACATTTTCTTTGGTTTTTAGTTTTTTATTATTCCTCTCTGTAAAAACATAATACTTTGTTAAACATTTTACATCCAATATGTTGCCAAACTCAAGACCATGACCATAGTCAGAGCAGCCCTAAATTTATATAGCAAGCCATAGGTTCAGAGGTGTCCAGGCCGTCACCCCATCTAAGTAACTGGCTCTAAATCTATGTTTTTCTACTGTCTCCTGTGATTTAATAATTTTCTAAAATTCACAGAACTCTGGGAAGTCCTGTACAGGTTTATTACAATATAAGAGTGCAAGTTGTAACCAGCTAAGTAAAGAAAATAGGGTAAGGTCTGAGAGTCCTAAAGGCCAAATAGTTATCCACCAGGATTGCCCTATCTTAAAACATTTGTGTGATGGGGCTGGGGATTTAGCTCAGCGGCATAAGCATCTGCCTTGCAAGCAGGCAGTCGTGAGTTTGATCCCCGGTACCAATAAAAAAGAAAAAAGACCAAAAAAACCATTTTGTGATCATATATAGAGCTGCTGAGGCTCACCCATGCCTTTGCTGTCTTGAGGTTTTATTTGGATTTGATTATGTAATGTCTACAACTGACCTATACTCTCTGGTCCACCAGAGGTCAGAACTGATACAGCTCTTATTACAAATGACATTGGTAGTCAGGTCTGCAATAGTTAGGTCTGTAATCCCAGTATGTGAGAGGCTGAGGCAGGAGAATAGCCTTCAGTTTGAGGCCAGCCTGATGTACATAGCAAGACCCTGTCTTCAAAAAAAAAAGTTTTAATAAATGACATTGTTAGTTTGTGCAGCGACCTAAACTTCTTACGCAATCAGATGGAAATCGCAGTCTCCCTATACACCAACAGTATCTTCCTCTAAAGGCCTCCTGAAGGTCAGTGACAATGTAGCATGGCTCTTCCATGATGCTCTTAATACCCGTCACCTAATAAATACAAAAAACTTGTCAGCTCATTTTATTCCCTTTGGAAAACAAAAGTCTGTTACCTAAAATCTGTGCAGTTTTTTCCTGAGGATACTTCAAATAGGTTCTTATATACTAAGGTTTTAATCCTAACTGAAACTCTGTGTGTCATGAACATGTTTTGCTTTTTCACAGATTGGTTCAATTAATATAAATTCCCTTGGTTTTATGTTTTTTGTTTTGTCTTTTTTTTTTTTTTTTTTTTTGTGCCATGGATCGAACTTACAACTTTGTGCTTGCCAGGCAGATGCTTATACCACTGAGCTAAATCCCTGGCCTTGTATTTTGTCTTTTTGATACAGGGTTTTGCTGTATAGTTCAGCCTGGCTTTAACCTTACAAAGATCCTTTTGCCTCAGTCCTCTGAGTGCTGGGATTTTAGGTGTGCACTACCATACCCAACCAATTCCCGGATTTGAAACACTCTATTATAATTGCTGTTCCTGTGATGCAGATTAATAAATTAAAAAAAGAGAGACTGGTTTTGGAGATGGACTTAGTTAAAAAATTATACAAAATTGCCAACCATGGTGGTACATAGCTGAAATCCTAGCCCTCAGCAGGCTGAGGCAGGAGAATTACCACATATTTGAAGCCAACTTGGGCTGTATAACAAGGCCTTGTTTGAAAAAATAAAACAAAAATACAATATTAATATGAAGATAGCCCCAAATTTTATTTTAGCGTTACTGTTTAATGTAGGACTTTTTGGGGGGTGGGGGTGCTGGGAATAAAACTCAGAACTTTGCACTTGCCAGGCTAGCATTGTGTGGCTGAGCTATATCCCCAACCCCGCTAATGTAAAACTTTATATTAACAAGTCATCATTATGTTTGTTTTGGAACTTGGGATTCAACCCAGGAAATTGAACTGAGATCCTAGAGAATTGATTCTAGTGATCATATTAAAGGGGAAAAATAGAAAATAAATATTGAAGGGAAGGAAATAAGTTGGAGGAAAAAAATTAGGAGACTGGAGATATAATTAAATAGAGCACCTGTCTAGCATATGCAAGGTCCTAAGCTTAATCTGCAGAATGGATTGATAGATGTCAGTAGAAGGAAGGAGGAAAGAGAAAGAAAAGAGGAAAAATAGGATGAAACTTCAGATGTGGTCAGTTAAGAAATGTCAGGCAATAGCCAGGTTAGGTGGTACACATCTGTAATCCCAGAGTCTGGGAGTCTGAGGCAAGAGGATCACAACTTCAAGTTCTGCTTGGGGAAGTTGGTGAAACTCTATCTCAAAATAAAAAATAATAAGGGCCAGGGATATAGCTCACTGCAGAGTCCCTAAGTTCAGTCCTCAGTGCCACTAAAAATAATACAAAAATCTAGCATACAGGTAAGTCAGAAGATGATATACAATATTTTAAGTAACCTAGAGGATATATAGTAGAAAAGGTCATTTAAACATAACTACACAGCTGGGCATGGTGACACACATCTGTAATCCCAGCACTCAGAAGACTGACTCAGGAGGATCACCTTGAGTTCAAGGCCAGCCTAGGCTACAAAATGAGTTCAAAGGTAGCCTGAACTACATAGGGAGAGCCTGCCTCCAAACAAAGAGATGACTCTATATATTACAGTTATGATTAATTTTAATAGATAATCCAAACTAAATCAAAATAGGCTTTTACCTGGGCATGGTGGCATATACCTGCAAGCTGAGCACTGGAGAGACTGAGGCAGGAGGATCACTTTGAGTTTGTGGCCAGCCTGGTCTACATAGTGATTTCAGTGCCACCTTGAAATATATAGCAAAACCTTGTTTAAAAACAAAAGAATGGGGAGAAAAGGTTTTAAAAAGCTTTCAAGTGGAAGTTGGGTAAATATACTATGAAACAAAGAAGTGTTTTGATCAAATATGGATGTAATTTAAAACATGAATTCTATTACCAGTTACTGAAAGACAAGGCTTCCTTTTAATTCAGAAGAACAATTTCAGTTGTAGAGTTTGTCAGATAACTCGAAGAATAAAGAATATTTTACAAGCTATCTATTCAGCCATCTTCTTCACTCTAGGTAGATTGCTTCTGTGATATAGTAGTAGTGTTTAAATAGTAGAGTAAAAATGAGGGTGGACAGTACAAAAACCCTATTTCTAAGAAGTTCGTATCATTCAAGTATGTTTTTGATGACCATATGTATTTCAGATTCTCCCCTGTGAAGGCATATATACTTCTACATGTTCTTTCACTTGATTTAAAAGTATATATGGTTATTTTTTGTCTTTTTTTTTTTACACTAATTTGGAGCAATTTCAGAGAATGTTTTAAAATGACTGAAAAACAAATTAAGCCAAGCATGGTGGTACACCTTGTAATCCCAGCAATTGGGAGGCTGAGGCTAGACAATCATTGAGTTTGAAGCCAGCCTAATCTAGATGGCAAGACCCTGTTTCAACAAACAAAACATTTAAGTGCTCAGAAATTGAAACTGTGGCACTGGCCTTATTTGTCCCATGTTTTATTCAATTGAGTCAATCAATTATAATCTAAAATAAGAAATATTCTTAGACTCATCTCACCTTGAGCTGTCTGCTTAGGCTCCTGCATGCAAGATAACTGGTGAAATGGATAATCACTACCTCTTGCTATTCCTTTCTATTACTATAATCTAAGGAAGAAGAAGAAGTTAGTATGTGATTAATGTTAGTTTCCAAGAAGATGCAGTCTTCTTGAGTAAGTGCTGGTGAGGCATTTATGAACTGTGCCCTTTTCTAAGACTACCTTTGCCACTATTCTAACTAAAAATATCTTTGATTCATTGGAGTTTGGATACACTGAACCCTGTTTGACTTTAAATGGAGAAAGTGGTTAGGAAGGTACAAATGGCATTTTGAAGTTCATCTTATCTTGAAGTAGTACAAAACATTTGCTATCTGACTGTGCTTTGTGGGTAGCTTGGTTACTTCCCTCTACTGGGACAAAATTCCTGACACCCAAAATAAAAGGAGAAAAGATTTATTTTGACTCACAGTTTGTAAAGGTTTCAGTATATGGTTGACTGGCCCCAAGGCAGTACTGTGTCACAGAGGAGAAACAGTCTGTGACAGGGCAGACAGGCAGCGAAAAAGCAGCAACAGCAGACTTGCATTCTTTCTGTCCCTTTATATTCTGTCCAGGCTACAAACTTATTGTTGCCACCTGTACCTACCATGGGGCTTCCTTTATCCACACCTTTCATCTACGTTTACATACCCTAATCCAGCTACCTTTGAAACTACTGACATATGACCACCTGAGGCTTTGGAGAAGGAGGCATCTAGATACAGGCCATTACAGTGGACATACGTGTTTTCTTCATAATTTACTCTTTTATGTGTAAGACTATTTTAAGCCAGGCATGGTGGTGCACGCCTGTAATTCCAGCACTTGGGAATCTAAATCAGGAGGAACGTTGAGAATTTGAGACGAATCTGGGCTCAATGACAGCCTGAACTGCATAGCGAGACCCTGTCTCAGAAAGACCAAAAACTATTCTTAACAGAGGATATAAGTAAAGGACAAAAATAGCCTGGATCTTCATGTAACTTAAATTCTTGTAATTAAAAAAGGACAAAAAGAAAAGCAATCAGGGTGATTTCAAGTGATAATAAGTTCTGTTATGGAAATAAAATTATGTGATTGGGTTGGGTAGGAAGGCTACTTTAAACAGTTTGGTCAAGAAAGACTTTTGTAAGGAAGTGATATTTTTTAGCATCTCAAAATGGGTAAGAGACCTGCTGTTCGGGGAGGTAACAGAAGAATATCACATTTGGACAGCGAGTGTGAAATAAAACTGGGTATAATATGTTAAAAGAATGGATCAAGAAGTTCATTGTGTCTAGTTGTAAGCTGAGGGAAAGTGATGAAGTTGACAGGATGGAGACCTTATAACCCGTTATGAAATAGTTGGGACTTTACCTTAAGAAAAATTATAAGATTGATGGTCTGAGCCAGGCATGGTGGCTCACATCTATAATCCCAGCCCTGGGAGGCTAAGGCAGGAGGATGGTTGTGAGTTCAAGACCAGCTTGGGCTACAAAGTGAGCTCAAGGCCAGCCTGAACTGCATAGTGAGACCCTGTCTCAAAAAGACCAAAAAAAAAAAAAAAAGATCGATGGTTTGGTTCCTGTTAACCTCAATTTTAAAATACATTAATCAGACTTTTAAACTTTAATAGAAAATACATTTATTTGTTATTTTAAATATTGCTTCTTTTTTGACTTTTACACTTTTCTTTTAACTAGAACCATCTCATTGTCAAGGTTCCTCCATATCATGACCAACATATAACTTTGCCTGTGTCTGTGGGAATATATGTCGTGACCAATGCTGGAAGATCCCATGATGTCCAGCCATTCACTTACACTCCAGACCCAGGTACGTCAAAACAAGACATTGTGAACTAAAGTGAATAATTTCTAGTTCATTGGGAAGCTAAAAAACCAAAAATAAAAAGTTACTCAATAAGATGAATTATTATTATTTTAGAAGTTGCATTATTTCCTAAAAGACCAAATACTGCTTTTACTCTTATGTTAAATCATTTCTGTCATACTTTTTAACACAAGTTAAGTTTAATTTCAGAAAATATATATATACATCAATTTCTGACATATACTTAACTAGTTGTTAGTATATATAAAATGATGCTTTCTCTTTACTATATTTATGAACTGTACATTTTAAATAGTATGCACTGCACTTAATCTGCATGTTGTATTTATTAAACACATTAAAATTTACCATGTAAAAAATTGCAGTGTGGAGCTGGGGATTTAGCTCAGTGGCATAAGCACCTGCCTTGCAAGCAGGAGGTCATGAGTTCAATCCCCAGTACTGAAAAAAAAAGACCAAAAAAAATTGCAAGGTAACAAAATGTTTTTTTTTTTTTTAACTGGTACCGGGGATCAAACTCACGACCACCTGCTCGTAAAGCAGGTGCTTATGCCGCTGAGCTAAATCCCCAACCCCCAAAACATGTTTTCTGCTTGTAAAATTCAAAATACCATTTTAAATGGACAAAAGATGACCCTTCATTTTTGTTTTCGTACAACTCGTGTAGTATAGAATAGTATCTCACCTCAACCATAATACCTGATCATGCTTTTTTATTTGACATTGCTCACAGACTAGTACATATTACAGTAAGAGTGCTGGCTAGAAACATGAGGTATGAAAGTGGTTCAAAGATTATAGGTCATGCTAGACAACAAAGAAAATTGTGACCAAGAAAAACTCCATTACACAGCTTTGCTTCTTTGGTTACAAAGTAGATTTCACAGCTTTTTTTTCCCACCTGGAAAAAAAAAAGGTCATACAAGAAATATTGAAAAGCAAAGGAATTGTGGCAGTTTTTCTATTAGAAAGTAGAAACAAGTGCAAAATTTTCATCTTCAAAATAGCCTGATTATTTATTATATCACAATAACTGGTAATTATTTATTATATCACAATAAGTGATACCTATCCAGTTGCACTGTGTTCTTCACACTTAATATATAAAATTTACATTCAAGCTGGGTCTTTAATACTGAAAATAAATATCAAAAGTAAATTGCCATTAGTGTTAGAAATATGCCAGGATTCTTTAGTTCAGTTATGGCCTAAATATTTTACCTTTAAACACAATCTTGTTTTTAAATTCCTTTGTTGGTACTTAAAATTCCAAAAAAATTTTTTTACAGTTCTATGACATTGTTCATGTACATTATGAAAATAGCAGCCTTGTAATAAATAAAACATTGGAATAAATAAAAATGAAAACTTATATAGGCAAATGTTATTGCTATTGAAAGAAAAGTGGCTTTTCAGATGAACTGTTACTTACAATATGATGAAGAAGGCTCAAGGTAAATCTATAGGTAATAGAAAACTCAGAGAGCCATCAAAATGCTTATAGACTATTTATGTGCACCAGGTAAAAGGCAGACTTCGCTTGCTTTAATAAACCTCATCTGTTATTCTCATATACTTTAATAATAAAAGAAAAGCTAGAAATCTTTAAGATTAGAGTCTCTAAAACTGCCATTTATTAAGTACCTGTTATGTGCAGAATGATGAAAGTAGAAATTGTAGGAAATTGCTACTAGTTTAGTTGGCCGTTTTATAGGTTGCTGTGTGTTTGTGTGTGTGTGTTTGTGTGTGTTGGGGGCATTGCTAAGCTTTGAACCCTCATGTGTGTTAAGCATGTGGTGTACCACTGTATTATTTTGGCAGCCTCTCAGTGCATTTTGACAGATGGGAGGGATACCGTGAGGTAATTCATGATGATAACTGACTAACCTATCTTATGATTTGTTTGCCTATGTTCATTTAGTTGCTTAAAGAAGAAAAAAGCCTTCTGGCAGAATGTAGGGAAAACATTTTGGAAATGGAAACCATAAGTTCCATCAATCTAGGCTTGATACCTGCCATAGTTATTATTGGTATAGTTCATTCTAGTCTCAGCCCTACTTCAGAATTACCAATTCTTCCATATCTGTAGTTTACTTAAATGTTATTCTCAAATAGTCAGGATCTAGTAAGATAATGATAAGGAAAAGTGGCAAGGAAAGAAAACCCTAGCATGGAAAAGTGGGAAACAAAGCCAGGCATAGTGGTTTCCTGCCTGTAGTCCCAGCTTCTTAGAGGAAACTGAGGTAGGAGGATTGCTTGAGCCCTATATGGATAACATAACAAGATCACATCTGGGGGGCAATTATTGAGTAGTAACTACAGTAGTATAACTAGTCTTGATAGTTACTTTTTTTCAATTTACTCCATTTTCTTTTTAATCATTTCTGAAGTTTGCAACATTAGTTATTTTCCACTAGTTTGCCACAGAGGTATGCCATAATATATAACACTACAAAATTCCCTTTGATATTTATTTGTCTCAGAATAGGTCACAAGTAAAATTGTGGAAGGTAAAGGCAGAGTTTAGGAATAATATTCTGGTTTCAAGAGCTCTGCATGATGACACATGCCTGTATTTCTAGCAGTTGGAAGGCCAAGGCAGGAGGACCACTATGAGTTCAAGGCCAGCCTGAACTATTGCTGTACATTGCTAACACCTGTCTCAAAAAGCACCGCTCAAGAAAACACAAAAGAGAGAGAAAAAGAATAATCTGTTTCAGTGAAAACAAGAGAAAGAAAAAGCAAAGACAAGAGATTGGTTTATAGTCAAAGACAAAATATGTGTTTTGTTTTTTTTGCTCAGAAGCCCTCAAACTCCCCCATCTATTCTGATTAGCTTTTACTTCAGTTACAGAAGAAGAAGATGCCCTTGCAATTTTTGCTTTCCTGAAAATGCTGAGATTTCATTGTCATGTGTTTTTATTGATTAATTATAAGAATTTTAGGACTTATATTTAGCTTAAATATTTAACTAGTGCTTTTGAATTAGTATACTTAATAAGTTGTATCAGTAAATGGTGAATCTTTTCTTGCTGGCCCTACTAGTTACATGTTTGATATTCTAATATCAATCTTGTATTCATGTGAGATTAGCAACATATATAGTATTAAGTAAATATTTTTTAAAATTGCTGCTTTGGTTTTGCTTTGATAAGTGATTATATGTTCCATCCACTGAAAATTAGTAAAGTTTTAAAAGATAGTCTGTTACAAAAATTCATCCCACTGAGTGTGATGGCAAATGCCTGTAATCCCAGCACTTGGGAGACTGAGCCAGGAGGATCCCCGAAAGTTAAAAGCCAATCTAAGCTACATAGTGAGTTCAAGGCCAGACTGAACTGCATAGCAAGACTCTGTCTCAAAAAACAACCCCCCAGCCCAGTTTATCTCAATGTAGAGTTTTTGCTAAACAAGCCAGTTAATGATGTTCTGTTAGAAAATAGGCCAACGGAAGGATTTTAAGATAATATAATTTGTTATAATGAATAAATGTAAATACAGTATATGAATTTTTTTCTTAGCAGCAGCAGCTGGTGCTTTGAATGTAACTGTGAAGAAGGAAATATCCAGCCCAGCAAGACCTTGCTCTTTTGAAGAAGCCATGAAAGGTAACAAATGGATTCTTCTCAAAAGTTGTAATTAGGGCTGGGTATGATGGTGTACATTTGTAATATCAGCACTCAAGAAGCTGAGGATCACTGTGAGTTTGAGGACAGTGTGGGCTAGTGAGTTCAAGGCCAGCCTGAACTACATAGCAAGACCCTGTCTCCAAAAAAAAAAAAAAAAGAGAAGAAAACAAAACAAAACAAAACAAAAAAAGGCACTCCTGTTTTCTTTAACAAAACCTTAGTATTCTAAGTATTTTTTTTCTTTTTTCTATTAGGTATTTGTATCACTTAGCAGAACATCTTACTGTAAAATAAGTATTTGTTTAACTTGTTGACTGTAGAGACTTGTTCTGTTTGATATTTTCCTTCATTAAGCATATAAACTTGTTTCTAAAAATACACATTGGAATAGAGGAATTTAAAATTCTCCAATATCAAAACTCTTGCAAAAATGTAAAATCAAAGCTATAAAGCTTCTTGCTTCTGGTAAGGTCAATACTTGTTATTGTGACTGAAGAGGCCAAAATACAGAGTCATTTGAAAAAGTTGTTTTAGGTTATTTTATTATCATTCTTCCTCTGATTCCTTTATCTACTCTACTGCTAATGTCCAGAAATAGTGAACATAAACTGTTTTTAGAATGTTGTTACAAAAAATCCTTAGCAGATTTGTAATACAACTGTAGTATATAGCCTTTATATATGAGGATGCAGGTTATGGTATGGCATATTTGTCTAATTTTATCTTTTGTTTATATTTTCCTGCCCATGAATATGAATATAATTCATATGAATAAGTAACATTTTAAATATTTGAACTATTTACTTTTAAGGAGAATGGCATGCTTAATAAGTTTTATTAAAAAATGAGTTCTTTTATTTTTAGTAGTAAGAGTCACTGTCCACAAGTGTTCAGTGTAGCAAGCTGTGACATTGGTAACAATGTTAGTATTTCATAGAAGAGAAAGCCAAACTGTAAGAGAGATTAAATAATTTGCCAAAGGTCATCTAGCTAGAATTTTAAAAAAATTTTTGGTTGAGCTTCAGTATATAAATATATCTAAGAAAACAAACACTCTGACCATGTTATTAAACAAGTAATACCATAAGTAATAATGGGCTGGGATATATCTAAGTGGAGCAAAGTCCTGAGTTCATTTCCCTGAGTTTAAAAAAAAAAGGCCAGGGAGTACAAACAAACATAAGCAAAATATGTACATGTGTGGAAATACCACACTGGAACCCAGTATTTTGTAAACAGTATGCACCAATAAGAATATATTAAAATAGTAAAAAAAAGAAAGTCAGGGATGTTTGTGTCTGTTCTTTGCCAAGTTTTTTTAATTTTATTTTATTTAAAGAAAGGATAAACAAAACAGAAAATAAGTAGAAATAATACATACGTTCAGAGAAAAAGAATAAACAGTAAGAAATCATTAGTTGATGTTTACATATTGTCATTTTACAAATAGTTGTTCAAGTTACAAGAATGGAACATGTAAAGTGGGAATTCAACTATTTGCAGCGAGACTGCAAATAGTTCTGTTCAGTTGTCCAACAAAAACTTAGTAACATGGTTGTCAATCCTATACACTTAAACATACATGCAGTTATCCGTATCTTCATTTATGTTTAGATTAAACAAACGAAAGCAGGTTAAAATCATTCTGAACAAAGAATAATAGTATTGCTGGATTTTACATCATGACACTCTGAGATCAGCACTGGGTACTGTAGTGTTTTTGTTGTTGTTGTTGTTGTTGTTTTCATTTTTATGGGTACCAGGGATCAAACTCACGACTGCGTGCTTGCAAGGCAGGCGCTTATGTCGTTGAGCTAAATCCCCAGCCCCCTGTAGTGTTTTTTTTTTTAATTTAATTTAAAGAAAGACTAAACAAAACAGAAAATGGGTAGAAATAGTACATAATTTCAACGAAAAAAATAAACAGTAAGAAATCACTAGTTGATGATTACAGATTGTCTTCTTACAAATAGTTATTCAAGATACTAAAGTGAAGCATATAAAGTGGGGATTCAAACAATGAGATTGCAACCAGTTCTGTTCAACTATCCAGCAAAAACTTAGAAATATGGTTATCAATCCTGTACACTTAAACATACATGCAGTTGTCCATATCTTCAATTGTGTTGAGATTGAATAAACCCAAGCAGGCTAATAACCCTCTGAACAAAGAATAATACTATTTATTGCTGGATTTCACATTATGACACTCAAGGATCAGCACTGGGTATTTTAGTGTCTCTTTTTCTTCAAAGTATCTGTTCATTTCATCATGTATCATAAGATCAGTCCTCATAAACTGTTTATAGAGTCTACACATGCATGAGACTTAACATATATTTCTATCCTTTCTATATTAGAGGGAGAAACAAAGCAAGGCAAAACAAAATATATTCCTATAAACACATGAAACGAAATAAACATGTAAGACCGTTGTACAAAGAGTTCTACCATGGTTCCTGTGTTGTCTCTTGTTATCTCCAATAGAATTGGCTATATCATCAGACATAGTATAATTGAATATATCAGTACATAACAGTATTAATAAAAACACAACTTTGTATATAGTATAGAACTTCAAAAACCAGCAGTTAGCAAACCAGAATGTGTATCATAGAGTCTTGTCATCTTCAGTGTAGTTACCTATACTCTTAAGACTTGATACTATCATATCAGTTTTGAATAAAATCTTCTCTGCCTCATTTCTGTTATGCTCTCTTTTTGCCATTTAGTTGTCTGCTTATCTTCTTCATTCTGTTTTCTGCTGCATTCATTGAGGTCTCTCTGCCACTGTTCCTGGAATCCTAGTACTTTTCTCTCTCTCTAGAATGCCCTGCAGTATTCTTTGTAGAGTTGGATTGGTGAATGCGAATTTCCCAAGTTCCTCTTTGTCTTGGAAGCATCTTGTTTCTCCTCTAATTTCTAAAGACAGGGTATATCAGTCTGGGCTGGAAGTTATTTTCTTTCAGGGCTTGGAGTATTTCGCTCCAGGCTCTTCTTGACTTGATGGTTTGTGTTGAGAAGTCTGCCTCATGGGCCTTCCTCTATAGGTGATCTGTTTCTTGTCTCTAACAGCTTTTAATATTCTGTTCTTATATTGAATTTCTGGGATCTTGATTATTATATGCCTGGGTGAAGCTCTGTTTTGGTTGTAGGTGGCTGGAGTTCTGTATGCCTCATATATCAGAATATGATTTCCTTTTCCTATGTTTGGGAAATTTTCCTTAATTATTTCTGTGAACTTTAGAGTCAAAGTAAAAAAAAATTATTTCTGTGAATAACCTTTGTAGTTCCTTTTTTTGTACCCCAGCTTCTTCATTCACATCCTTTATTCTCAAGTTACAGATGCTCTTGTTGTCTTCTAGCCTTTGTATTGTTACCGTTTGTTTCCTTGTTATTTTTAAAAAGTTTTCCCTTTCATACTCCCACATTGCAAAATTGTCCTCCAGTCTGGATTATCTATCCTTAGTTTCTTTCAAGCTGATTCGCCATCTTTCCATAGTGTTTTTAATTTCCTGGTGATCTCTTTGAATCTGCTTCAGGGATTCTATATTTTTTTATATTCTTCATCAAATATTTCTCTCCTTTGATTTCCTCCCTTCTTCCGTCTGTGTCTGCTTGAGGGGTGCTTGTGTTGTCTCTTTTGTTAATCTTCTTATATCTTGCTTTATTTGGCTAAATATTTCACTTTTGAACTCGTCTGTGAGGTCCTGAATATATCTCTTTATGTCCACTGGTGCTGTGTCTGATATTGCATGTTTGCTGTTCTCATTCTTGTTTGTATTTACTTGTCCTGGGTCAGTGTTCTCAGGGTTGGGACCTGGGGACTTTTTGTTATTGCTTCCTCTTTCCATCTTGTTCTGCTTTTCCAGGAGGCCCTAGTTTCTTTCTTTATTGGTTACAATTCTTCGGAAGCGTACTGCCTAGATGACCCTTCTCACTGCCATGTGCTAGTGAATTGCAGACAGGGACAGTGTATGCTGGCCCCTCCCCTCTGGATCAGTCAAGCTGCTGTGGCCTGCACTATATCACTTTGCACTGCCTCCCGTCCGGGTGGCGGTGGCTGGAGCACAACAGCGTGGTAGCAGCAGCAGCAGACTTTGCGCTGCCTCCCTTCCGTGTCAGCATCAGTGGCGGCAGTGGGTGCCCAGTGGCTCCTACTCAGAGGCGCCGGAGGCGGCTGGAGTGCAGCAGCATGGGGATCTTCTTTGCCAAGTTTTATGCATCTGTTCTTCAAAAATCCTGTAGGTGGGAAACAGTCTAATTCAGATTTTTTTGGTTTTGGGGCTGGAAAGTATACTCAGAACTTTGTACATGTTAGGCAAGGGCTCTACCAATGAATTATATTACCAGCCTCAATATGAAATTTCTTATAGCAGATCATGAACTTGATGGTACATGTTTGGAATAGCAGGTACTTTGGAAGCTAAGGCAAGAAGAATCACAAATTGAAAAGCAGCCTGGCAACATGGTGAAGACCTTTGCTCAAAAGGAGAAGAAACATAGCTCTTTGGGTTCCATTCAGAACTAAAAATTGGAAGTTTAGCTGGGCATTGTGGTATATACTTGTAGTTCCATCTATTTGAGAGCTGAGGCAAGAGGATCACAAATTGAATTCTAATCTGATCCAACTTAGTCCAAAGCCAACCTGAAGTACACAGCAACATCCTGTCACAAAAGAAATGCCAGTATTACTGATAATACCAGTTAATAAATTTCTGACTAAATAAAAAATAATATTTTTGAGAAGCAGGTAATATCCTTGACACATTGCTTACTTTTACAATTCTTGGAAATCAGAGCTTTAGCACTATCTCAGTGTGTTGTGTGGAATTTTAATGAGTGATGCTTTAAACAGTATAAGTGAACCTCGAATTTGTGGTATGGCAGTAACACATTATAAGGATGTATGCATTCTTATAACTATCAATTACGATAAGTTTTAGAACTTGATATTCAAAGATGGCTAGATTTTGAAT